TATTTTACAACGCGCTGAGACTATTTTACGGCATGAATGAGAAAATGTGGTCTGGTGCATGGACAGCAATTTCTTGTGCTATATCTTCGATTTCCATATTATATTTATATTCTCTCCTTCTTATGATAAGTTTAAGGCATGAAAATAACTATTGTTATATAATGATAGTATCTACGTTATAGTTGGTATTATAGATAGTATTAATCACATTAAAAGGTTGACTTTATTTTATATCTTTTCATGGCTCCTTCGTTTGCAAACAGCATTTATGACACACAATTTCTCCGCTTACTTAAAACAGCTTAACATTTCAATTATTTACCAAGAAAATATACATTTAAATATGCATGAAAATCTTGTTTGCATGATAAGCATAAGTATCAAGCGATTTATTTATTTATTTTTTTCTTTTAAATCTCATTTAATTTAAATCAGACGAAAGTCATCTGTCTGATCTTCTGAGTGAGTCAAGCGCATAAAATCCCCGACTTTGCATTTCAATGCCCGATTATTGAGAAATTCTCGGGATACACACAAACACGGACACACGGTCACAGTATACATGCTCAGTAACCTATCCCAATCAGAAGGCCTGCAGCCAACAGACAGCCTGTCGTCCCTGTGTTCTGGGCTCGTCAACGTCTTGAGAAATTTTCCACAGGGCGCAGACAGCGCGGCTGCAGCAGCCCACGCACATGACAGGACACCGCTGACGCAGCCCACCCTCGCAGACTGACATACACACGCACGCACGCACACAGCTAGAGAGAAAGAGAACTCCAATAACAGTTCCAACTAATTTGCGTAATATTTAACAGACAGCGAGCGGGCAGCGCTAAAACATTTGAAGAAGGCGCGTCCGCTGTGCCCCAGATGTGAAGTAGATATGCGCACAGTGGCCACTCGAAGTTGTTACTCGAATTACAAATTAAATCAACAAAAGTGAAAACCAAAGGCGTGCGCACGCTGCCCGCACAGCAAGGACATGTCAAACAGCGGCTATATAAATGAGTGTTGTGTCTGTGGCCTGTCCGGCGGAGGCAAAGGCAAAAGATAAGGCACAGGCGAAAGCGGAGGCGGGCACCGGCTGATGGTCGTCAGCAGGCACCCCCTGGGGTGTTGTTACTAAATTAGTGGGAAAAACACACACGCCGCACATACATCAAGGTTCGTATGTGAAAGTAAGTGGTGTAATGATATAAAAACGCGACCATCACATAAATGCCGCACAGTTTTCCATGGAAAAAAGGTTAATGCGACAATGAGGAAGCTGCCAGCGTTGCAAGCATTTTCCCACACACACGCACACACACACCCGCAGTGCATGGTCAACACAGGACACGCAAGCAGCGGGGCGACTTCTGCAGCTGAGTTCACACCGCAGCGACAGGCGTCGCTGGTCGCACTTTCCGCCGGGCAAATGACGCGCGTATTTATGTGTGTTTGTGTGTGTGTGTGTGTGTGTGTGCATGTGTGAATGTGTGAATGTGTGGGTGGCAACGTGTGTGTGTGTGTGTGTGTGTGTGTGTGTGCGATCAATTTCAATGTAAACACTTGAAATTACAATTGTAATTTTCCCAACTACTGCAAAGTGTGAAACAACAAAAGCTACGACTTCAGCGACCGATGACAGTTGATGACGTTATTGCATCGTCAATGGGGCACCGTACACATGTTGCTTGACATACACACACACACTCACGCACACGCTCTCCAATATATATTTAAATAAGCACAGTCCGCATGAAATGTGGGTCGGGCTGGGTGATGCCAAGGTTTTTCCTCGACGCCCCCGCCAAAGCCGCTATTGTGCGTGCACACAGAAGAAAATTTCCAATGAAAAGCGCCAGTGACAATTGGCAACAAGGAAAACAACAACAACAGCAAAAACAACAACAATAACAACAGCAATAAGAATTGCGCAAGTATGCGCATAAAATGAAAATTCATTGATTGTCTTATTGAATTTGCGTTTTCCCGTAACGAACCAAAAGTTTCCTTCGCCCTGCCTTTGACATAAGGAAAAACAATTTAAATAAAGTTTACAATCATTTTCTTTATTCGATCCGATGTAAGCAGATGAAAGAGAAAAGGTGCCTGGCCCATCCAAATGAGAGCAAGAGAGACAAGTATAGAGCGACCAACTGAGGGAGCCCTAATAACAGTTTCAATCAAATTTGATTGGCTAATAGACTTCAAGTACTTTGCATTTTAATTGCTTTAAATGGGCGGAAAATACATTTACTTCGACTAAATATTGAGTTAGCAGCGCATTCGAGAAAGCCATTGATATTATTTACACAAGCTAAACTGTATAGTTTTGCACTTCAATCATATTTGATTGACAAAGGGAAGCATAATTGTGTTCACTCCGGAATTATTGGAATTATTCCAGATATAGAATTAAATTAAATACAAACTGTGGATACACGATTGTTAAATCTGTATCAATATCTGCACGTAAAGAGCTTCAATTGAAGTGTTGACCAAAAATATGAATTGTTTTCTTTATCATTTTTATCAATTATCATTTTGAAGCACAACAAGTTTCTAACTCAGTCGCAAAATGCACAAGCGAACTAAAAGTATAAAAAATATAATTTACAAATAAATATATGAATTAAGAGTACAAAATTATTTGCAATAGTTAGTTGTGAATATTATACAAGAAGTTAAATGTAGCCGATTTGCATTAGCACGAAAAAGTCCTTTAAAAAAACTTCAATCAAATAGGAAATACTCTTAGCTTAATAGCTTTTATTATATTTTAGAGCACAACAATTTAATTAAAAGGATGCTCTTAGCGTTTAAGCGAAACGCTTTCTCAATTCATTATAAATACTTCTCCGTCCTTCGATAAATACGAAATTTCCAACAATTTTGCACGTTTTAATAAGGCCAATGACACGCCTACTCACGCAAGAGTGTTTGTGTGCCTGTGCCTGTGCTTGTGTGTGTGTGTGTGTGTGTGTGTGTGTGTGTGCACAATGGCATTCCATTTAGCTCATGGCCATAAAAATTATGTCATTAAACTTGAAAGTGATAATTAAAAATTAAAATTGATTACAATGCTCAGGCAGTGGGTGGAGCAAGGTAACCAGTTCAAAAATCCAGTTCCCATTGTCTTCGGCTGACATTCTGTATTCATGACGACCATCAAAACTTGTTGTAAAGTCATTTAGGAGAGGCGGCAACGCCAGCCAAGTGATTAACCGTAAGCGGATAGCGCAAATTTGCCAGTCCAAAGCAAAGTTACACAGTCAGCTGAACTGGGCGGCAATGGAAATTCGTGAAAATTGTTCGCAGACAATGCGACTAATTTGCTAAATGCAATGGCCAAAAAGTTGGACGTTTTCCCTAGCCTTACAAATATAGCCGAAATAGTTGTTGCCAATTAAAAGCGAATATTCGCTTTTATATATATATATATATATATTCGCGATTCGATCCACAAAAACTTTGTCCGTGCACGCCGCCCAGTTGTTGACAAATGATTTAGTGACAATCTATTAAATGATAGCTGATGCCTGATTGATGAGACGGCTGCCAAGGCTGTTGGCGCTGTTGGGGCTGCCGGTTCTGACCAGGCCAACCAGGCCAACCAGGCCGGCCGGGCTGATCGGGCTAAAAGGATTAAATTCCAAGCGACGCCAACGCATTGCAGTACTAGCTAAACTCGCACCACAGCGCACTACCAAGTCTTTGAACTATGAATTATGCAAGCGCCAGACAAGTGCTCTGGCTCTGTCCGAGTATACATATATATATATACTTCTATATATGTATGTAAATACCAATTCGAATGGAACGAGGGAAAAAAATACAACGATATAAATGTTGGAACAAAAATAGACAGTGCGCCAATGGAGCGATTAGCGACTGCCCTTGGGGGTTAATGGGGTGGGATCGACCCAAAATAAAAATAAGTCATAAAAACTAATAACTGAATCAAGTGAATTGTAACTGAAATACGTAAACACGTCAGGGGTTAAGCGCGCCTACCCCTAGAACAATTGACCAGACTGACAGGCGATGTATAAAATTAGCTATATAAAATTCTAGAGGGTTTGTATCGTTGGCACAGATAAGGTTTAATTAGGGAATGTGCTTGAAAATACAAAAGGTTATTAAGCCGGGCAACGATTCGAAGCTAAAATGGGAATATTTTATTTATGTATTCGGCTTTTTCTAATTAGACCATTTACAGTATATAACTGGTAAACAAAACATTAGAACTAATATAATGTGTGATATGACAGGTTCGTTTCTACGGACTCGCTCCTACGAGAGACATATGGAACGGCCCTATTAATAGAGGAATTCTTATAGGGTTGGGCATTTTGCTGGACTACAGAGCCATATTATTGTCTGGGAAGAAATTACTGCGATATTTAGCTGTAAATATCTGCAGAGTGCAGGACATTGATGGAACCGTTCAGCTAATTTTCGAATTAACTTCATTGTATTCTCTTTTTCATGACTGTCAAGGATAGGAAGTCTTTTGGCATGTGCTTAGTTTTTTTTTTTACATGACCTTGATCTGTGGTCTTTTTATAATTTAAAATTAGTAAAATAATAAGCAGGAATGAAAGTTTGAGGAAAAAAATGTTTATCAGATATGGGACATACTTGAGGGTAAACTTCTTCAAATCCAGTTTAGACTCTTGCTAGCAAGTGCTAATAAAAATTTTTAAAGTCTTCTCTATTTTTGGACTCCGTCGGAATTTGGAGTTTACATAAAGGATAAAGCCTAAGTACGAAATCGTTATCCGGCGGGCTATCAATAATTTTATACAATCTGTGCAAAATTGTGTGAAGAGTAGACCGGAAGGTGGAGCCGTATGAAGAAATCGGTATCCGGCGGAGTTTTAAAGTTAACAGAAATATGTTTCCCTTTCCTAAACATTTTATCAATGCATCGAACACACTTACCGAATATATTTATATATTATATGCATATTAATTGATTAAACATTTGAATATAGCATTTGGTGACTCACCGATTTGTGGCACATCGTATTGCCGCTGGCCGCGCGCTGTGCGCAGCATCAATTGGCTGGCAATGCTGTGGGAAACTGGCGGCGACGCATAGCCACCTAGTGCTCCAGCGGCGGCGCTGCCTGATCGCTTGTGATTGGGATGCATCAACGACTGATCCGATTCCTTCTTGTTCTGCTCCTGCTGCGACGACTGCTGTTGCGATGACGATGACGACGACGACGACGAGGACGAGGTCGACTGCTGTTGCTGCTGTGCATCATCAGTAGCTAATGCTAATGCTGGTGACTCGTGCGACTGTTTGTTCTGCTGCTGACTCGTTGCGTCGCCATTCTCGTTCTGGGTTGACTTTTCCAGCTTGGTGGCGCTGGCGCTGGCACTGCCGGAACGTGTGGCCGCCTTTAGATGCTTGCTGGCCGTGGCCTCCGAGTTGGCCAGTGCCAGTTTGCCGCGTTGCTGCTTGAAGTGTTGGCCAAAGATGTTGCGCTGGAGCATTGGTTGCGGCTGCCTGGGCGCCTGGGCGCGTTTCCTGGCCCACTTCTGTTGCATGCGTATGTTATAGTTGCCGGGAGTGTGTGCCTTCGGATTGGACTTGCCCTGCGCATCGCGCTGCTCCTGCTCAAGTAGCTGCTGTAGGGCATCGGGTGCGCTCAGTTCAAGCTGCTCTGCCGTGCGATAGGGATTCTCGGGCAGCGACTCCTCCTCTAAGCCATGATACTGATAGGCGTCTAGCTCTCGCAGCAACTCATCCTCGCCCAAATGCGGCTCGTCGGCGTTCGGCTCCAGCTCTGAGAAGTCATCAAAGTCGCCAAATCCATGCAGCGGCTCATAAAGGGTTTCGCCCTCCAGTTCACGCTCCGGCGGCTGCATCACACGTCCATAGTCGTATTTAACGGGACGCCTCCCAAACTCACGTTGCTGCTCGTAGTCCTCGTCGGCGGCCAGCGGTGGCGGCGGCTGCTTTTGCACGCTGCCAAACATAAAGCCGCGAGCTGCCTGCTGCAACAGAGCCGGATAGTCGCCCACGTCCAAACCCTCACTGGGCTGCATTTGAACGCGGCCCGCGATGATGGGCCGGCCATGGTGGCCAGCGGGCGCATCGGGACTCTCGGCCGTCTGCTTGGCCAGACCGAGAAGCATCAAGCGCTCGCGCTCCAGCTGCGCCATGTCCGCGATCTCCCTGTTCAAACGGCCCGTGGTCGCATCGAAAGCAGCCGCAGCTGCCGAACGATGTCCGTCCGAGCGATGTCCATGGCCATTGCTGCCCAGCCCGCCGCCTGGTGGCGCTCCGCCGCCCGCATGCTGATGCAACTGCTGCTGCTGCTGCGGCTGCCAAGCACCAGAGGCGCTCACCTGGCCGGCGCTCAACGCTGAGCCCAGGCCCGAGCCTGACCCCGAGCTGGAGCCAGTGCCCGCCTGCTTCTCGCTGTTGCCGCTCAAATGCAGCGCATAGAGGCCGCCATTGATGAGCAGCACGCAGACCAGAGTCTGGGCGAGCGAGAAGAACATTTTCGTTTTGTTGCTTTGGCGCACTTTATCAATTAAACGGCTTATGTTGGCGATGTGTGTGTGCGTGTGTGTGGGTGTCAAAGAGAGCCAAAGATTGGGCAAGGGGGGAGAGAGCGTGCGAGTGAGTTATTTTGTTTTTGTCACTTGCAGTGTTTGCTTTGGTTGTTTGTGTGTTGCGTGCTTAGCGCTTGTAAGTCTTCATGCTCGCTGCTCAACACTGTGCGCTATAGCGCTTTGCACTGCACAACACTGGCCGCAAAGGTTTTTTCCTTTTCTTTCAGTCAGCGCGCGCGTTACTTATACGCCGCCGCTAGCTGTGAAGTTGCCTTTAGACAAAATCAATAATCAATTGTCTACTTGTCCAACTGAAGTGTCTGGCCTGTTGTTTGTTGAACTTTGTTGGCCTTTGTCGAGGGAGTTGCTGACAGACGAAAGACACACAGGCTTAGGCACACTAGTTGCTGCCTATATATGCACACACATGTACGTATATATGTAAGTATATATTCAGATATATATATATATATATGAAATCTCTGCCGTCGGCACTATACCGTACTTTACCGTTACTCTTGTCACGCGTCGCGTTTCTCTTCAGTTTCTCTTCAGGCACGGAAGTCGCTTGCGGCTGCCTAAAAATGTTGCCCTGACCGCTTGCTGTGTTTATAGCTTCCCGTTAGTTGGTCCTTTTATATCTCTCACGCTTGCCAAATTGGATGTTTCATATGCTCAACTATATGGGAGGCAGAAATTTGAACGCACGGCACTTGGGTTATCGTTTTGTTTCTAACAGTTTGACTTTGAATCAGTATTTGCAATATTCTTTTCGCTGTGTGGCTGTTTTTGTTCACTGTGTGTTTTAATAAAAATGCAAAGAAAAATTTGTATGGTGTATAATATTTGTATACTTTTGTTTTTATGGTTATAACAATATTTTTGTTGTTATTGTTGTATATATATTTTAAATTTTATTTTATTTATTTGTTTTTTTTTTTTTTTTTTTTTGTTGAAGGAACTTGTTAGCACTTTTTTGCTTAGCGCTCAGCTGCGGCACTTTTGTTTTAGTTTCATAGACTTAATTTTTGTTGTATTTGTTTCACAAATTTTACACGACTTTTGCTTTGCTGTAGTTTATTATTTTGGTTTGTTGAAAATTTTTCGAAAATTTTTAAGAAATATTTGTTAATATATTTTTTGTTGTAGGGGGGAAATAGGTTTGCACTTTAAAAACATGTATTTTTTTCACGAATTTCACTTGATTGCTTGTTTGTTGTTGTTGTTGTTATTATTCTTTATGTTTTTCTTGTATTTGTGTGTGGAGTCTTTTATTTGATGTGAAAACTTTTTCTAGTGTGTCTCTTCAGTGTTCCGCACATATGAACCGACGAGCAAGGACTCGTCGTATCGTCTCAGCAGGTTTTGCCTGTTTGTCTGCCTTTTGCTTGGCCGCTTGATGCGGTCGCTGCCTCTGCCGCTGCCTCAGTCGCTGTCGCTGCTGTCGCTGCTGCTGCTGCTGCTGCTGTTGTTGCCGTCACGGACTACGACGTCGGCGCTGCTCTCCTCAAGGCGTTTCGTATTTCCACTTTATAGATGTTCATACAAGCCGCCGCCTGTGCCTATGTGTGTGTGCTAGCGCGCGTGTGTGTGTGTGTGTGTTTGTGTGTGTGTGTGAGTCGTTTCTGGTCGTAGTCGTCGTGCGAGGTTCGTTGTGCATTCGTTTCGGGCAATGCTGCTCGTTGTTGCTGTTGTCGCCCGTGCCTCGAATTTCACTTGTCCTGGCCGCTGGCTGCTGCGTCTGCTACTGCTTCTGGCTGTTGCTGCTGCTTTTTCTTTCTGTGCGTGTACTCAGTCAACGGGCAACGAGCACGAAACGACATATACGTTTGTTCGCTCAATACTGAGCAGGCCGCACGCTCAACCACTTGTTTTCAAGCCAAAGCCATTGCTGAAGCTGTAGCCGAATCCGGAGCCGAAACCGCAACCGAAAGCTTTGCCAGAGCCGAAGTCTCAGCAGACCAGCAGCCAGTGCGCTGCGTCATGTGTAGAGTTTCTGCCAATTTGCGAGCGAAAACGACAGCAAAAGACAAACAGCAAAAGCGAAAAAAGAGAGAGAGAGAGAGAGAGTGAGAGTGAGAGGGAGAGAGTGAGAGAAAGAGTGCACGACAACGGATAGCTTTACGCTCGAATTGCGCTCATTGTGCCGGCATCGCCTGTATGATGTCCTTTTCACCCTCGTAGGGGCAGCAACTTGTTCGAATTTTCGCACTTGGCTAGCCCGTAATGTTAATAGGATTTTCCTATTAGCAGCAGCGATTTGACCACTTCCTCTTCTTCTTCTTATTCTTCCATTGTCAGCTGTCCCTTGAAAAGATTGTGGCTTAGTTTGATAATTGATTTAATTTGGTTTCGTAAATTCGGTTAAACCCGCAGTTCAGATTTTTACCTAGAAAATTTTGCTGAGTAGGCACATATTAAGGGAAAGTCCTGTTAGTTAAATATAATAAGTAGTAGGTAACATATAAATATTTCATGACTGTATAAAGGAATTGTAAAATACAGAGCAGCTATGGAAATGGACAACCACAAAAGTATGAATATTAATTGGGAGCAAAATATGTTTTTTGTTTTATCTAAATAGAATGTTGCTAGAATAAATATGAAATTAGAAGTTATGATGATTTAAAGATGTGACCTAGTATAGCTATTGATATTTGAAAATTAATTAAATCTCGTGGATAGATATTAGTTTAAAGAATCTAAAATAAATGTAGTATGATAAAATGTTTTGGGGTAATCCAATAATAATATGAATTTGATAATTAAGTAATCCCTTGATTACATCTTGATTGTCAATAGCACATTTTAAGTTAAATAAGGAGTTTATAAGAGAATAATTTAAGAAAGCAAAAGAAACCAAAGCACATTAAATATTACTAGAAAACGTTTTTCCACAAATCTACTTTAATCTAACAACTATGAAATGCATCTAACACTTGCGCATCAAAGAGACTTTTCTCAATCTACTTATACAAGCACTCACATATTTTCCCCTAACTGAGCCCCTCTTTCGAACTACTGAGTTCGAAAATTGATGACGCCCACACATTTGCCACAGTTGTAAAAAGCAAAACAAGACGACGACAATAATAACAACAGCAGCAGCAACAACAAGTCCAAATAAATAAAACGGAAAAGTATTTTCCTACACATGGGCTGGCACTGAGAACATGAATTGCAGGCTCCTACAATAGAGAACCGAATGGAACCGTGGCCGAGTGAGGCATACATGAATGAAGGAGAACTACGACTATATTCATAGTTATACTCGTACTTATACTATGCAAGGATCATCGTCATCTGCTGCTGCTGATTCTGATTCTGCCTGCAACTTGTTTATGTGTGTGTGCGTGCGAGTGTGTGTGTGTGTATGTGTACCTCATCTGAAATTCATCATTTGGGATGGGCATTGGGACATTTTGGGGCAGGTGCCGGCCATGGCTAGTTCAGCTCGGTTTGCCGTTGTCGTCACAATGTCTGTGGCTTTTACGTTTTACGAGCCAGCAGAACCAAAAATTATAATATAGTTTTAATGCTAGATGAAGTTGTGCTAACATCGCACTATCTGAATGAGAACTTGGTTGTAATGGTTGTCAGTTGGGCTTGTCAGTTTTGGAACTTTCGCATAGCAATAGACTTGTTTGTAGACATTTTTGTATGGAAAACATATAAAATTCAAATAAATTAAACGAGCCAATAGAAGGTATGTGTCTAAACGAGCCTTCAACTAACAAATATTTAAAATAGAATCTAATTTATGCAACGGGAAAAGATTTTAGCATTTAGTTAATATATTTTGGAATATATTTAATGTCTGTCTTGCGTCGACAATTATTAAATGCTTTGAAGGGAACTTTTTATATTTTTCAATTTTAAAATACATATTTTTATGTTATTTTTAATTTACATAAATATCTAAAAAATATAAATAAGTTAATTTGTGTAAAAATGTATTTTAAAAGTGATAGCATTTAGAATATATATTAAATACTTAAACCAATTTACATGTTTAACTCTTGGTTAAATTAACCAAAAATAGCCAGTATTTATTCTTAGCAATTCTAGCCCTATATTAGCTATCCCTTTCCATCAGCTACAGAGAGAGCCTAACAAAAAGCCGGCTTCAATACACAATTTGTTGCACAAAAGTCTACACTGCGATAAAGTCTACAAGCATATCAAACAGCTGAGCGAGCTGAGCAATGCTGTTGTCTCCCATTCCCAGTGTCTGCCTTCTAAGCGAGTTGTGTCCTGTGCCCAGTGGAAATCTCATAAACTGTCCTACCACAAGCGAAATGCATTGGCTGGGCCAAGGCAGGCGGTCGGAGTGGCAACAGGGCGACAACAACAGATGATTCAGCCAGGCGCCGGCGCAGTGGCAACAGCGGCGACTACGTCAACAACAAAAAAATAATCGAAGCTACGAGTTTCATTGAGCAAACAGCGCCCCACGGTTGGGGAAAGCGTCAAGTGTACGGCATGGAGACATTATCGCCGTACTGGCGACGACGGCGACGGCGGCCCTTTTGCTCTTTCAATGAGCGGCGACAACGACGGCGACGGCGGCGTCGGCGACGACTCGCGACTGGACTAAACTGGATGGGGCAGTGGGTGTGCCGCAGCCGCACGATGATGACGCCTACGCATATTTGTGACGTAAGCACGAACACGATGTACGGCCACGAAGTTGTGTGTGTGTGTGTGTGTGCGTGTGAGTGTGTGTGTGTGTGTTGGTGTCGCTGCATGTTTCTATTGTCTTTGGCTTTGACACCTTAGCTGGCCACTCATTTCAACTTTTGGGCTCGTCGCGTGCACAGCGCAAAAGTTAGCGAGTTTCCAATGAAATGACCGTACGAGCTAGTTACCTTTCCTTTCAGTAATCTTTTTTCGTTACCAAATTTGCCAGTTATGCAATTAATTTAAAATATATTTTAATGAAAACCTTAGCAAATGTATAATAAAGGCTCACGATTATAACTACAAATATCGGTATAGCTCCATATATTTAAATTGATTTGGGATAGTACGTCAGAAATAATATTGTAGTAAGTTCTAAAGTGAGGAGTTTCATAAATATTTTCTGTAACCGTCAGAAAACTTTTTAAACTTTCCTTGTGCGAGTAATATTTCCTAATTCTGACAGCTTAAAATTAAAAAGGTAAATAAGCAATCTAAATAATGTGGAATAATTATAGTATTGCGGAAAAATAAAAAACCCATGACAGCTGTATCCAATAAAGTTATTATAATTACGAACAATAATACTTCATATTTATTGTTAATATTAATATATAAGTTATATAACTAGCATATATCCTTTTTAAAAAACATACTATTCATTAACCTAGCCGACATCTACCGTAGACAATCATTAAATAGAGATTATTATATTTAAGCAAAAAATGCTGCAGCGAGTATAAAAAGATTAGATCAACTATTTATGGTGCACAAAAGTATGCTACACTTTTATATTCCCTTTGCTTATTCGCAACGGCAGACATCAAGCTTTTTTTTTCTATTCCTATTATAAGACGTGTCTTAACTATTTATGTTCAAGTTGGCACTTGATGGCAGCTTTACGGACTTCCGCCACGAGTGCCTTTTGCAATTGCCCTTCATCCCTCAGCCCTTAGACTCCAGCACGGCCACCGCCCACCCTTCAGCCTGCCCCTCCTCTATCGTTACTTACCACTCTGCTGCCGCTGCAGCTGTCGTTGACATTGAATTCTGTGGGATGGCACCTAAAAATAGGCAACCCGCCGGGTTAGATTTTTCTTTTTTATTTTCATTTATATTTTCCTTCTTTATTTTTGAATTTTGCTTTGCTTTTTGCCATTTGCTATTTGAGTTTA